ACTTGGAACTCTTGGTACTCCAATTCTAAACATTCAAGCATCTGGAATTCTAAACGCCTAAGGAAATTTAGAATTCCAAGTGTAAGTCCATTGTTTGTAATTCCATTATTTAGAATTTCAGGAATAACTCAGGTGTTTGGAACCCTAAGTGTTTGTACGTACAGCTTCGAACACTCAATGTGCCTGAGATTTAGACATCCCTGAATGTGTGAAACTCTGTTGACTCAGATATCTGGTACTTCAGGTACCCAAATACTTGGTGTTTACAAAATCATATAAACTACTCCAATTCTAAACATTCAAACATTTGGAATTCTAGACGCCTAAGGAAATTTAGAATTCCAAGTGTAAGTCCATTGTTTATAATTTCACTATTTAGAATTCCAGGAGTAACTCGGATATTGGAACCCTAAGTGTTTGGGAATCTAGGCACCTGAGTGTCCCAACTTGTGACGGACGGAAGGGGACAGTTACTCACGTTAGGCCGTCGGTCTGTAAGAATCCCGATCCACATGCGAATCCGTATCCGTGCGGTCCCCACTTCTTTCCGTAGCAAGTCTTGCAGTAGACGTCTTTGTCGGGCCCGTCGCAGGCGATGATCGAGTCGAGAGTTTTGCTGCAGTCGCGACACTTGTAGCATTTCCTGTGCCATTCGCGGCCCTTCGCGAGCACCTGTTCAGCAGCGAACACGACACCACCGCAACGTGGACAACCTTTGCCAGGTGGGGCCTTGATTATGGCGGTGTCGACCACGGTCGTACGAGGAGCAGCATCGCTACGTTCACGAAAATTCAGACCCACGTTTATGCCAGCTTATTCCCAGTCGCTGATATCGAAACGTCGAGCGGCACGAATGACTGAGGGAAGATTTTCCCAAAATCGAACTTTCGTTTTCATATATTTCTTCTTTTCCTTTTTTGTTTTTTTTTTTTTTTTAAGGAGAGACGGAGAGCTCTCCTCTCATCTTTATTGAAAGATTCGAGATGATTGGATTCAAATTTATTCTCATTCGAGCGACTCGACTCCGAGCTTGAACACTTTGAAGCCGCAAAAAGAAAACAATCCATGCAAACGAGACGCGCGCTGGTCGATGGCGATCAGCAATTAAGATTCGGAACGTTCGTATGCCAGTGAAAAAGCACGATTTAACCACGATTTGAAAGTTGAAAAGCTGTCGCACACAGACATATGGTATATGGTATATTTGACTTTATTCTTTTATTTGTGTACGGTCATATCTCTTTGAATATACGGAAAGGGAAGCATGCTTTTAGCACACGATGATAAGTTAGGTGTGCCAGAAGAGATGTTATTGATGATGATGTTTTAAGAATTGGTATACATCCTACACTCGAAAAGCGAATTTAGTGGCCGAAAAATGAGATAACGGCGAAGGTGAATAATAGCGCAAAGCGTTAAGGCGTCGATTCGTGTGTGTGTGTGTCTGTGTGTCTGTGTGTACACGTACGTGAAGCACATGCAAACATCCGTTCATTCGATCATTCACTCGTAAGCCGGATTTCTTCAACTTTTGAGAAGTAAATGGAGCTCGATCGGCATCTTCTTCCCCTTGGACTAGCTCTGTTTCTTCGAATTTTCATTCAAGAAACAATTACTCTGATATTAGTTTCTCAATCTGGTCAGTTTATCCGAAGGATGTTCCAAGATGAGTGTCATTCGAGACGATATTTAAATTTGAATGAACCCACAGAAGGGATAACTTCAGTTGATAATTGCGTTGGTTGGAATTTCGAAAAAAAAAAAAAAAAAAAAAAAAAAGAAAAAGAAAAGAAAATAAATTTACTAAATTCATCAAAGTTCGATGATCGTGAATGACCATTTACATACTTGGTCAGCTACGTAGCTTTTTCCACATAAGCGAGATGATTCCCTTTAATTCTCATAATTCTCTTTAAAAAAAAAAAAAAAAAGTATCGGAGTTGTTCTTCCAACTTGTAGAAATTCGTTTTTTAACGAATACACCAAGAGAACTCGCATTGTCTTGTAACATCGATCCAATTGTTCGAGAGACGTCAAGCTTGGACCATCCCGCGCCAGTTTCCCCCCCATTGACGAAATTATATTAAACTCCATTTATATTAAAGTAAATCATCTGGCGTGATAGTTAGTTGGAAGAAAAACGGGGCTTCCTGGAAATCGGGCCAGACAGACGGACAGACAAAACAGACGCACGCAGAGACATATAGATAGACAAGAGAGTGGCTGATATATATATATATATAT